CCCCCCCCCCCCCCGCCCCGACTAGTTAACGATGCCGTCTGAAAACTACGAAAAAAATAAACAATAGAAACCGCAATTTTCGTGTGTGTGTTTTTTAGTTTTTCCTCCCACCACTGCTGCCGGAGCCGTTTACACAATGTCGCGGCAATAACAGTACAATTCGCCTCACCTCTCCCCCGCCACCGAATTTCCCGTCGGGTACCGATTTTTTTTTATAACGGGCATTTTCGTAGAACTGTATCAACTCGAACGTAATATTGAAATATTCGTCGGTTCCGTTTCGTGATCACGGGTTTGTTCACCGTCATAATGGGAACTCGCGCTTTCGACGACAAACGACGCATTTTAATTTGAGAAACCGGTTAATTATCGGTTACCCGGTCCACGGTTTTATTTTTCATACGGCATATGCAGCATTGCGCTAAATGTTACGCTATTACCTGTTGATAAAAATACCTATTCCGAAACGAGAAAAAAAAAGAAAATTTAAAAGTTACACTCACCGCGCGTTCATTCCGTCAGTCTTAATGCCTGCGTTCTGTAAAAGTAGAATGAAACGTCGGCGAGTTGTACCGAAACGATACAATAAATCGTTGTTAGAATTTTATTTCCGTCGCGATAATAATACTGTGACGGTTACACTGAAAAATAAAAAAAAAAATGGCCGTCGCGCTTTTGCGCGATAAGCCGATCGAGCGTCGTTTCTGTCGTGTTCTATGGCCAGGGGTGGCCAAACGACCGATGGATCGCGAACGATTTCAACGCCGGTCTTCCTTCTCGGAGTTTATTTTCGGTGCAACCGGCAAAGCGGATCGCGACTTCCGACAATTCGTATCCACGTTGTTATGTCCGGTGTCGGTTTGTGAAGTAATTATGTAACGTGTTTAAGATTCATTGACGTCTCTATGGTGTATACTGGCAGTTTCGTTACCGGCGCATTCGATTTATAACAATACGGCATGTTATGATAAAGCCGTTGAAAACAATTTAACCGCACATTTTGGTTTTACTATTTTCGTACGTGCGTGTTTATCATTAGGGTTTTTCTTTCGTTCCTTTTTTTTTTTCTACGGGAGTCGATTCTCGGAGGAAAAACGCGTTCTCGGTACGTCTCTACCAAACGGAAACTTTGGTCACCCCTATTGTGCGTCCAATGACCGTTGCCCGTGCCGCGGTCGTGTTATGACTATTTCGAGTTCCCTCGGTTGTCCGGCGCTCGTGTTTCGGACCCGTCGTTTTTCTGTCGTTCTCCGTTTCGGATTTTGTCGAACGTCCACACAGAACTGCGAACTGGATAGTGAATAAAACGCGAAAACGTCGTTATTGGCGCGAGTGTCCACCTCTGTACACGGTTTGATTTTCGATATTAATATTACGTTATTGTTTCTCTCGAGTTCTGCTCGATGGCATTTACGCGGTTCTCGGTGTCGTACAGCCATTGAAATTGGCGCATATTGCGTGCTTCGCCTTCGGTAAAAACAATACACTTTTTTCTTTTTTTTCTCGCTCGTGCGGTGGTTGTTTGAAAATTTTAAAACGCGTGCCTGCTCCCCCCCCTCCGCCCCCCCCCACCTACTTCGCGAACGTATTATTAATTTTCGATCGATTTTGCATATTTAATCGGTCCAGTTGGACTGTCTACATATTTCGGATACGACTGGCCGGGAGTGGTATTTTCCGCACTTTTACTCGTACCATTTCAATCCACAAAACCGCAAATTTATTCAAATTTCAGATTTTTCAAAACACATTTCCGCATTTCTAAAGTGAATGGTGTAAGATCTGCCGAACACAATTATCATTATTTCGTATATTAAGTGCAAATTGAATTCACTCAAATTTTAACGCACTTCTAATTTTCCGAAAGTTCACGTGTTGATCTCTAGCATAGTGACATTTAGCCCGAGAGAAAAAAATATCACCAAGATAATATCATCTTGACTGTTGGTCAAATTTCGAGCTAACAAATTGCTTAATACTTTTAATGGTACCTTGTAGCTTTTGAGTATTGCAAAATACAATCAAATATCTTCCTGGGATACTTAATAATAATAATCAGTGATCGTTAATTGATCAAATTTAAGATTATACTTTTTTCTGATCAATTTAGTAGTTGAAAATTGGCGAACCAAAAAAGCGTATAATCCAACCGCGGATTGTTTATCAATGAAAACACCTGAACAAAAGTTAGGTATACGAAACATTTTTTGATATTATTCCAGACTTAAAAGCCAGGGATCAACAATTTATAAAATTATACCTACCTGTATTTTATTATTATACACAGTAATATATAAACACAATTTTGAATATTATTTTCTGATTTCAAATTGGCGATATGTGATGCAAACCCACGAGTACCTACCCATTACAATTAGATTTTATTTATGATCAGTTTCTACTAAGTCAAGTAATCATCAGAAAATAATATTGATAAGTAAAATCAAATAGATCTTACGTATCTAGGTACTTGTAGTTTTGTATTATTTTAATATTTTTTATTATGTGTACGTATATTTTTAAAAAAATAAACAGATACGCAAGACAAATTATATCATTGAAATAATTATTGTCATTTGTATAAATATATTTTATTTATATTTATTTAGGTATAAGCATACCTATACCATGTTTATTTTATTTTAAAAATAATTAATGTACTTTGTTATTTTAATAATACTAAATCTATTTCAGATTTTGTGTGTTATAAAATATAACATGGCCATGTCTTCAAATTTATCTATACTAGGTTATCAAAATGATGACAATTTTGACGAAGTATTTAAAAATTTATTATTTCCTATTGAATTGATTACAAAAAAAAACAATTATGAAAATCATCAATATGACCTTATTAAGGTAATTTTATTAGTAAATATTAAAAATCAAAAATAAAATTCTTATCCACCTATTTATTTCAGGAATTGGATTCATATTTGAGTCATTTGAAATCATCTTCAGATGATGATTCATTAGTCTTTGTGGAAGCTGCATTAATGATTCAAAATGTAATGGTTATTTATCAAAAAAAAGTTGATCAAATAGTGAATGATATGACAAAACTTATTTGGAAATTTCAATCATAGTAAGTTAATTATATTAGGATTATTATTATTTGATAACAATATTTTATTAAAACTCAATAAGTTCCATTTTTAACTAGTTGAGTAGCTAATTGTTCAATAATATTATCATTTACTGTTTGGTATATGTTATTTTAAGAAATTAAATAGATATTTTAAAATTATTATGTGTTTTAAATAAATAATCACATTTACAATAATATTCATAAAGTTGGTACCAAATATAGGATATAGGTAATAAAAATAAAGTAATAATACATTTTTTGGACTTATTTTTATATTCATCCTGGGAAGGGGCATATAATACTACATGTTTAATGAACTCAGTGCTCCGAGCTCCTACTGGTGAGAAGCCCGAGTAGGTAAGTTCAGTAAACATATGGTATTGTCTTTGTGGGTTGGAGAAATTTACCTTATAGTTTCCAGTGGGCGGAGAAAACATATGAGAGGAGGTATCATAGCAGATGATAGCTTTGATAAGAGAAAATCTAGAAGAAGTTAACAATAGGCTGCTATAACAATAGTAAGCGAAATGAGAGAAAATAGAGCAAAACAGTTTGGGCGTGTCATAAGAGAGGAATAAGAAGCAGAAGAAAATTTAAATGAAAATAAATGTAAAAAGAAAGTGGTATAAGACCGAGAAAGAATCTGTGTATGTGAAGTGGAAGATCGGGTCAAGGGAAAGCTCAGAATGAGAGTTGCCGATCCCAAATGGTTGGGATGAAGGCTAAAGAGAAGAAGATTTTTCACTCCCTTATTATTATATTCAGATTCGAGCTTTGTACAGATATTAAAAATAATATTATGATGAGATTTTTAATGTAAATATTGTTGATTCTAGTCGAACAATTACAAATGGCACTGAAAATGCAATAGAAAATGAAGCGGAAGGTAATAAAAAGAAAAAAATTGAGAAAGAAGTAAAATGTTTTTCTTCTTTTGAACCAATTGAAATTAAACTTTACAACTCATGTAAGTTTAAGTAGATATTACATCCATTAACTAATTATTAATGACTGTTAGCAAGTTGTTTTTTTTTATTTTTGTTAGATTTAAAATTAATTAATTTTATCAGGTTTACTAGCAGAATTACCTGTATTACTATTGAACAGGAAGATAAATTAATCAAATTTGTAGTTTCTTGGTATAAATAATAATTTGTACCTCTTCAGATATTTTACCCTCTATAGTCTATGGTAGTATAGATACATTGTAGTGTGATGGGGTGAAAAATATTAGAAAGGTTAAAATCATATATAGCTACAATTTAAATCTAGTTAATAATTCCTTCTAAAACATAGTATACATATATATATATAATATAAGATTATATTGGGAAAATGTAGGAGAATCATACAAATTAATTTACATTGTCGATAAATTATTAGGAACATATTCAATATTTAATTATGTATTTTTTTTTTTTTTTATTATTATTATATTGTGTGTATTACCTATATAGTTTTGTTTATTATTAAGTGAAAATCTTTGACTGCAAAAAAATTAATTTAAGTACTTTGCCAACTCTACAAAAAACAGTACTGAACACTAATATAAAAGTAACTAATAAATACAACTCAGCATTGCCCCATATTATGGTTGGAAATGGAGAAAATATTGGAAAGAAATATGATTATAAGTAAGAATATTATAGTTATATAATATTATATAACTACTTATAATATAGTAATTTTTTTGATTTATTTTAATTTTATTACAGGATGAATTTTCCTTTAAATTGTTCTTTGGCTATTAATCAAGATTTGGATTGTCCTGCTAATGTAGACCATAGAGTTAAAAATGTAAACATTGTAATAAGTATTTAATTTACTATTGATTTAAAATTAAATTTTTTTACTGTATCAGTGATTTTCTGATAATTTAGTGGATTTATAATATTTCAAATTATCGGAAATTCCTGTATGCTGTATACAGGATCATCCAAATTTTATACAAAGTCAAAGTTTTCATGAAATATTTTTTTTCCGTAACCTTCATACCAACTATTTGGGATTGTCCACTGTCATCTTCTTCTACTAGATCCAACCATACTTAATCTTATGTTTCACATCCTTTTCAAAGCCACCATTCTATTGTACAAAAGATTCTAGGTGCTTAAAACACTCAATTTTGCCTTCTTTGTTACCGGTTATTGTCATTACTCGTCTTGTTTTGTCAGCTTTTTGCTCTCTCCCTCCACATTTATATTTTATGTACTAAAAAAAAAAATGAGTGTATAGTAGAATTTCTTTTATAATAAATATAATATCAAATCTTGACAAAAATTGAAAATGTTATGGTTTTTCAAAATATGGTTAACCGAATTCCGCTCAAAATTGTTTTTCATCAATGATCAATCATTTCGTACAAAATATATACATTGAATTCCCCTTTATATCTTACCTTCCAAACTTATTACCTACAACAGTGGCCCACTCATTCTGTGAAATATATTTGTCTTTTAAAACAAATTATGTATTTAATTGATAATTTGATTCTAACATGAAATTTGAGAAACCCTATTTAGATTTTTTTGTTAGAAAAACATTTTAAATTGCTATTTTTAACTGAATACTTATTATGCTATTTAGTTGCCAATGGATTTGATGGATGTTGATATAGATGATGGCAAAGACATACTTCAGGATAGTCTTGATCCGGTTGTTTTTAGTCAGACTATTCATAATACTATGGATGAAGTTTTTGCTGCCAATGCAATGGCACCAATGTAAAAAAAATTAAAACTAGAAATTACAAATATATTTTATGAAATGTGTATTATTTTGCAGGCCTGCCGATAATATAATGGATGTTGACCAAATTCCTGAAGTAATACATTTTGATGAAGCATGGAATTGTGTAAATGCAAATAATAACATTTATTCAGATAAACCTTTTGTAAAAAAAAAATGTATAAAAAAAAAAGAAGTATGTACTACTAAATAATGGCGATAAAATAACTATTTAAAGAAATAATCCATTTAACGTGTTAAAATACTACTCAAATCATTGGAGAGAGAATTTCAAATTCAGAGGGGTAGCTAATTGAGTACAATTTTTTTAGTATTAAATTGTAGATTATAATATATAGTACTCGCAAAACCCCAAGAAGAGGGGGATTTACTAATCCCTCTGATATCCATCATTGACTAAAATGTATAATAATTTTAATTTGTTTGTATTCAACTTTTAGAGAAATAATACATTTTGGATACCAAAATATACATTTGAAGGAATTGGAATTAAAAAATTAGAACTACAATTAAGTATTTCCGTTGATTTGGGATCTAAAACTGATCCTGCATTTATTACTTATATTCGCATTGCAAAGAAAACACAAAAGGCAAACATCTTTAAAATCAGAATGCAGAGTAATTTTTAACAATATTCAATTAATACTTTCATAGACCATGTTAATTTTTCTGCTGAAAATATAATTGATATAAATACTCATACATTCACTAACTAACATAGAAAAATATAAATAGTGACAATATTTTTAAAACATCAACATCTTACATAAGTTGGAGCCATTTTAATTTTTGGTTTCTTTAAATAGTTGTAATTTTTGTTAGACAATATTTTGGAGAAAACTTCGAAGATGCATTTGAAAATATTCTCTTTAAATTTTGTTATCTAAGTTTGAAGTCTAATATTGATCTTAGACATTACAATTTCAAATCCTATGTAACATAATCATTTTTATATGTTGTCTGTTAGACTAAGACAGTGAATGTGGATGAAATGCCCTCTTAATTTTATTATTTAAACTATGTCATTAAATGTTTTTCACAAGACAAATTATAATCCTTTTTTTTTTTTTTTTTTTTTTTTTTTTTTTAGAGATGAAAACTGATAAACAAACTAATGATGGTATGTTATTATTTATTTTATATTTATATTATTAAAATTTCATTGACAGATACATTAACAAGCATGGTTGACTCGATATGAGGGTTATCTGAAGTAGGGGTAAGAGTTGACACTTCCATTCATTGATTTTTTTTTTTTTTTTTAGGATTTATATAAATTCTTCATTAAAATTATTAAATAGTAAGAGAATTAAATTGGCATAGGTAACACATTTAAAAATAGTAATCTAATGATTACCTATTTTAGCGCATATCTTAAGATTTGTTTGAGCATAACAAGAATGTAGCATAATATTATCTTTGGGAGATACCAGAAGAAAACATTTTATTTTTTGTATATTTTTATTAGTATTGTGTTCGAGCATAACCGTGTGTGACAACTATTTTGAAATATATTTTGTATAAAGTCCTGTGTTGTAAAATGGAGTTTTATACAAACTGTATTTAAAGTTAAAAACCATGACAATTAAAAATTGTACCTATATATTATGAGATTCCAATTTTCTACAAATATTTGTCAATGGTTTTTCTTTTAGATTTTCTGATAGAATTTGTGTTTTTTTACATTCAAATAAATTAACAATTATAATTTACCACTTTAAAAAGTCGAGGTTAGGAAAATAAAAAAAATGTACTTGTTTGTTTTATTATTGAGTAGAAGAACTGGAAGAGCTCAACACATCTAATAATGAAATATATGTAGACAATGATTATGATGATTTACTTGGAATTGGTGATGCAGAACCTCAATCTGAGAGACACTTCAGAGACAATTACGAAACATATCGAAAGTTAGAAGAAGATATGAGACAACACGAACAAAATCGTATGGAAATTGTATGTAAAATTAATATTACACTACTCTAATATAAATATCTTAAGTACCTTTTTTTTTTAGATTAATGAAGAACTGGCCATGAGAAAACGAGTTGATGCTTGGCATGATAAACTACGCCCGATTTTAAAAGAAGAAGAAAAGAAAACTGAATTTGATGTACATGCATATGGGACAGACATTTTAAACTCCTTTAGCCATGTAGGTGAAGAAAAATTGTTTAAGGATTTAGTTAAAGATAAGAACTCGAGTGATGTTTCTCGATATTTTCTATCTGTTTTGATGATGGTAAGTCGTAGATGATTAATTTAGTATTTCTAAATTTGTATTTAAAATTAACTTTATTTTAGGCCAATACATATAATTTGAAGTTATCAAATTGTGATAGCAAATTCTGTTTAAAACTATTAAAAAAAGAAAGACATCATGAAGAACTTCAAATGAATATTGGTAATCAAATAGTTTCAAACCAAGACTGAAACTAATAGTCATAATTAATATTTTTCTCCTAAAATCTTACTTTTCTCTTGATATTATTATTATATATATTGTATGTTTATTAATTAATTATTTATTTTTTTATGTGCGTTTTATGCATTAAACTTCTCTCTGTTTATAATAATTTTAATAAATATTTAATACAATCCTTAATAAAGTCTCTATTATTATTATATTTAGACACTAGTATTTTATTATCGTAGTACACCTAGTTTTTATATATACATATACAATATATAGTTGAATATTTTCGAAAAACCAACTATTGTTTGTCGAGTCCATAATAATAATTGAAACCGGTAAAAAGCTAACGCACAACATTTGGTGTGGATTTAATTATACACAATCAAGTTCGAAGTTAATCAACCAAGTTTTAAAATGACCAGAGTTATAAAGTTCGTTGCGGGACAACAGGAAAAACCCCCCCTTAACCTAGTTAACCATATATATATATGTACACCTCTGCAGTGGAGTAATTTCGTGTGATGACTTTTCTATATTAAACCGGAAGCCGCGAGTAAAGGTCGTTGTGTAAACAAATGATTTTCGCGCGACATTTTACGTCATAAAAATTATTATCATTTTCAATAATGTGGTGATAGAACGCGCGACTAGTCTCGAGAAATGACAGTAATAATACAGCGGAAGCTCATCGGAACCCGGAAGAACGTTTAATCGCCTATTTACTGCAGTTATAGGTACGCGTTCCAGAAAAATTCACTATGCCAAGTTTCCCATGCACGGGTTTTTTTTTTTTATGTAGAATTTAGAAGTAATTTTGTCTTCACATTATGTTATATTTTATGATAAGCGATTGTGTACAGTCTTTGAACACTGCAGCTTGTACATAAATTATTTAAGTCGTTAAATAACAATTATTAAATAATAATTAAATCATTTTTTTTTAATTTCTCAAAAATAAAAAAACAGATCCTGAATGGAATGTTTTGGACTAATATTATAACTCAATTGGAACGATTATTAAAAAAAAAAAAAAACATTTTTGTAAAACCAATACATTCCCTCACTCCACTCAGAATCTAAAATAAACTTCTTTGTATACTTCATACGTACAAATCGTATTATTTACGGTTATGACTATGAGTGAATTATTAAAATTTGTTTACAATAATTAACGGTAATACAAAAAGTTTACGAGATTTTATGTATACGCAGTTATACTGATTTTTACCTACATATTTTAATAATGAAGTTGTAAATTAGATAACACTGTTAAAAAACTAAAATCGCCCCCAAAACAAAATCCTGGGCACGCCCCTGATGTATTATATTATTATTATATATATTTATATACATAAAATATAAAACAGAGTAACCTATTATAACCTAACAACCAAATTAATAAAATTAAACAAAATCGTAACTGTACAGACGGACGGACACAACGTGGATATGGTAAGGTCTTAAAAGGTCTCGAGTTCTCCAATACTTAACGAATAGAAAAATCGCATCCTTTAAAAACCATACAAATATTATATATATATATATATTAAGGGACGATAATAACATTATTTTTATTATTACATTAACAAGGACAGAATACGATAAAAATTACACTGCAATATCTTTTCTATTTGATAAATTGCATCAGAGGGGGGGAATTTATGTCGGAAAATAAAATATTATAAATTATTTCTTTGTTTTTGTATCGCACAACACCTAACTATTATTTATCGTGTCATCGCGCATTATTACGAGTATAACGGTGCTTTTTTTTTCCGCGGGCACTTATGTATCATTTTTAACCGTGTAGCCTAAAAAATATTTTACGCATACCTGCCTATTTTATAGATTTCAATTTTTCACCTAAACAATTACATTCCCATAAGACTCGTACCCTTCTCCATAATAATCCTTTTTCTCCATTATAATGTTAAATTCAAATTTTATTTTTTTCACCATTTTAAGATCACAGTGACCACCTTAGTTATACGACTTTTCCACTTAACTACAGTCCGATACTCAACTAAGGGAAAGAAGTACGGCTGCTTTTAATGACAAATGCGACGTTTTAGACCAATTGTAATTAGAACCACTCCCCTATGTCCGTTTACAAAGTATTAGCCATGCAGGTAAGGATTTATTGAAAATTGTCTAAGTTATTTAGGAAGTTGATTTTTGATTTAAAATGCGGTGTGCTAAAAGTAAACAAAAATGTAATGCGATTATTATCACTGAGTTTTCGAAAATAATCCCTTAACTTTGAAGTTTTTTAATACTGAAATCGATTTCCTAAATAATCTGTAAATCAATTTATCAACAAACTTATACATACCTTTTTAAACTGGAAATAGGAAGAGTTTGTCACTTACCGCCACTTATTAGTCTAAACGTATGAAAAATAAGTGCACTCCGACCCCTTTAAAAACCGATCTTCCTCCGCGTCGGATAGAATCAATCTAAATTATATAATTCGACCGTAGCAAATGGGAGTAACGGAATAAACGACAGACAATTTGTTTCCACCGATCCGACCGGTTTGTACTTATACTATATACTTAATTTGATCGTTGCCGAGAACGGAAAGAAAAATTATTGTCATCAATTAATAATAATGGTTTCCGCTCCGATTGAAATAGGTACCAACTAATAGGTGCTAATCGTATATTTTTCATTTTCAAAATGTTTTAAAATTACCAACAATGAAATACCTACGTTTTAAACCCGATTAGGGCTCTTACGGCACGGCAATGCAGTCCAGTTTCACGTGTATGACCGGCAACGACAAACGCGCACTTATTTAAACCCTATTTTAAACTGATATTAGTTTGATTATAATTTGTGTTTCGACCAGACGGATTTTCATATTTCAACCTCTTTTTGGCACGAGAAGTGATTAAGTTCTTAAGTGATGAAGTTATCGGGTCAACGTTTCCACAAAATTAATTTTTTCCTATCGCTTAAAAAAAAAAATGAGTACCTACACATTTTGAATTTTGTAATTTAGTCTTTTAGGGCCGTCCTAATAATATATATATATATATATACAGAACATATTAGTTTATTTATTTATTTGATTACATACATATAAAAATATACAGAGGTGGCCAAAAGTCGCGCAACAAATTTTGCAACTCAGTTTTTATAAAACTGTTGTGTTTTATGTTAAATATGTTGTTTTTTTATAAACCTTGCTGCTGTTGTACGTAAACAAGATAACGAGACCAAAGTTGAAGTATGACGTAACGGAAACGACGTGGAGGGAGAAACTTCGCCGTAACGCGCGTTCCATACAAGACGGTAGGCGTTGCGCGACTTTCGGCCACCTCTGTATAACACATTCATTTCAATTAAATTGATTCCAACACACCGACAAAACAGAATGTTTACTAGGATGTTTTGTCGTGTCGCGTTGTGCAGAGCTGTACAAGAGTGAATCGGGCTTAAATTGTCTACGACGGACAACTCAAAAAACGGTGTTACATTCGGGACATTCTACTTTGGGCGGTAACGTTCAAAAATCGCGGTTTTACCGAATATTGCCCAACATAGTGCGGTTTGTACATTCGTTTGTTTTCCCACACTGTTATCAACCATTGTCACGAACGGAAAATATTTTTGATTCCGATACATTCATTTCTACCCGAAAATGTAATATATTATAAGTACGTTGTTTTGTTCCGACGATTTGCCACTATTGTTTGACTCGTTCGTGGAGAAAACTGAAACTTCGTTCGAGTGTTAATTCGTATCTTTTGAGGTAGTCGTAAAAATATTGAAGTATTTTTACTAACAGTAAATGTTTTCCAAGAACAACAATGAACAAATTTAAAAAAAAAATAAACTGTAAAGCTAACCTCGTCTTCGTTATATTCAGCATAAAAAAAAAACAGAGAAATTCGGCACGATGGAAAAAACGGTAAGAGGTCTACGAAGTCTCTGCTAAAACTAAAATACAGTAAATCTTATAGGAAACTGTATGTATAATAAAATACCTATTTAAACGGAATCTAACAAATAAACAGAGGAATTTAATTTATTCGTATTACAAACGGTTAAACAGTCGCGTGTAATAAATACGGTATAGATGGAAATCGTACACAGATGTGAAAAAAAAAGAAATAAATTAAGATCGGACGGCAGAACAGCAGCTATATTAGTGGATATATATATATACAGGGTGGTCCATTTATCACGAATCAGAATCGGAGATAGTGAATTTTATTTTAGTTTTTTTCTAATTATTATTGAATCGTTTTATTTCAACATTATATTTTCAATTTATACACCTATCTCATGAAATGATTTTCGAATAGCAACCCTCTATCAATTTCAAACACTCTAAAAATGTTAATATGCATAACGCTTATGCATATCGGTTTACCGTTTATGAGTCAAAACATTTTAAAATTTAGATCGAAAAAGTAATGAACTTAATATAAATTTTTAGATAACACATCGATAATTATTACTTACTCCTTTGGTATAGATTTTAAATGTAATAACTTATAAACGCTAAATTCGATACACCTAAAGTGTTTTTTGAAAAAATATTCTATGGTCTGATCAGTGTTTACAACGGGAATTTCTATTTGAAAATCCAACGTCTGTACTCATTTAAGATAAATACAAGAAGTAGAGGTGAAATATGATAGTATAACATTAGAATAAACTATAAAGCAAAACAAAAAAAACAAAAGTTAAATTCACTTAAAAATCCTCCTGGAAAATTGATCATTCATGATAAATGGACCATACTATTACTCTGTATCACTTTTATACAATACTATATTGATTGCGTTCGAATATTTTCACGCAGAGTGTATTAAGTACAAGTACTTATTGAAATATTCGATAACTACACGTGTGTAATATGACAATATTTATATGTGCCTGTCGTTTATCAAAATAATACTACGAAATTTGTTTGTCAAAGTTGCATCATTAATAGGTACATTTATAAGTCCCGAAAAACAAATTTTGTTTTTCTAATATAGAAGACAGTAATTACACGTTTATG